AGAGATCGATAGGCTTTTAATCACAAAAGAGGCTTATTGGAGTGCTCAGTTGTTCTCTTTGGCACCCCATGGTTTGAATAAAAGAAAGGAATTTCATTCGAAAAATAGAATTTGCTATAATTAATTTTCCATCTTATATTAGGCGCTACTAATTGATCGTTCAAAGGCCCTTTTCTTGGATTTTGTCGGCCCTTTAGGTGTGGATTGGACTCAGAGGCCCTGCCAAGGGATCTTATTATGATTAGTATCATTTAAGGGCCCCTCCAGGGATTTTGTTGCTAATTTGCCCTTTCGGGCTCCAAAGGCCTTGTTTTGGGATTTTGTTACGGTTTACAGTTGTAGTAAAAAGTGGGCCTTCCCTTTTTTAATGCTCGCCGCATTGCTTCTTTGCAATTGATTACGCCACTCATATTAACATATTTAGTATTCTTATCTCTTAGCTTTTAGGGCGTTATTTGTATTCGACGAAGCGCAGTTGGATGATAAAGGCTAATATTACATTAGAGAAGAGGGACAAATGTTTCGGATTCAACTTAAGAGAGACCATATAAATAATAACATCGTTACCTCTACAACAAGGCACAAAGGTTCATCCTAGTGTCACATATATACTTCAAAATCTTTTTCTTACTCCTAGTTCTGACAGAGAAGGTAGAACGTTAAAACGACACGCTTGGTGAAAGAGAACCTCGTTCATAAATACGAAAGTAATCGAGATATTCTCCCATGTTGGCGAATTACTGTCATGAAACACAGCAAGAAAAATTCCTTGGCGTTCTATCGAGGACATAACTACCCGTGAAAACTTTTTCATTGTATCCAGCTTTTACTTTTACATGTGCTTCCGCTTTGAGGTCTGAGACGACAGGGCACGTGACCTCATAACAAGGCCACGAAAGCGAAAGTATTATATACGCCTAAACCATATTTTTCGCAACAAATTCGACACAAATCCTTGTTAATGGAACATGTGATTGAATATTCCTGTGCCTACTACGATATCTTGATGTCGATCGGACTCAGCTTCGATGAAACAACTTTTTAACTATACTCACCCGTGGCCTTCAGCAAAGCTCTGTAGATCTCTGAGTAGCCAATTCCAGCGTTGTCTTCGTTGATAGAGAGTCGAGATTCATTGGCTTGCACAACAAAAATAGCGCAGTCCATCTGCAGTTGAGGAATGATGGTCTCACAGACGTCGGCCATTTGAAACAATCGAAATTCATGTTTTTGAATTACGAACTCGAGTCCGTATTTCTCGTTCATTTCTTCGAGAAACGCTTCCACAATACCAAGATTATAGGTTTTATCGCAATGAAAGAGACATACAGTCTTCTTCGACTGATTTGCCATGATATGAAAACGTAAGAGTTATTTCTCCGCAGTTGGTTTGTTCTTGGTCGGCGAGTTTACTGCCCAATGGCCATTCTGCGAATCTTACATTTCCTAGAAATGGTAATGTTGTGACGTTATTTTGATTTGAGGATGTCATGCAATGCTAATCAAAAAAAAAAAAAAAAAAAAAAGGTTTCTCTCTCCTTGTATTTCAGAGCGTGAATTAAATAAAAAAATTCTTTATTCAGACGATAACTCTTTTCTCTCTTGTTTCTCGCGTTTGTTTTCTTTGTTTTGACTCAAGAAATGGCAAAAATAGGATTCAGAATACATTTAAAACGGTATGCAAAGACATCCTGTGGGCAATGCTTTAATTGAAAGCTTCTTGTTACCCAAAGCAACTTGATTGCCAAACACTTTTCCCTATGCATAACGTTATTGCAAGTACGTTAGGTCTATGAGTGACTGAAAAGTCCCACAGTCTCATCACCCGGGCATTTCATTACCAGTTGTTGGCGTGTGTTTAGGGGGAAACTAGCTGTAGAGCGTACCATGCTTACCAAAGGGCACCAAGGACTCTTGACCTATCATTTTTCAGTCTTTTTTTATTTGTTGTTCCCTCATACAATTCTATTAACAGCATAGTTATTTCAGTCTATCACTTCTCCACTCTTTGACCACTATGACTCTGACTGACTGATCTACTCTGATTCATTGACTCTAATGCGTGACATGCTCAAGCACTCAATTACATAACAACCAAAGCATAACTCTTGCCCGTTGGTGTTACTACGGTTTTAATTTTTAATTAACATATAAAAAACGTTTCCTGTTTCCTGTAACCCCTTAGCTTAGGGAAAGAAAACGAAAACAATTATTGAATTTTGTATAGTGTGACTGACTGTCCTCTCTTCTCTAAGCAGAATAAATTATTCCATAGTCATTTGATAGCTTGTGAGTAATTTTTATTCTCTCAAACTGTCTTCTTGTGAAAGCGGTTCGTCCTCTTAACGGTCAAAAGGGAAGCTATCGATCTCTATCAGCAAACGCGAAAATAAGCTCCAATTTTCAATCCTCGAGACCCGAGCAAGATAGCCGCATTACGACTTTTGAAATCAGTTATTGATGATATCAAATACCGGGAAGAGGCTCAACTATCATTTGGAAAGTTAACTATCTCAGGTAAGTTGTTCTTATTTCTTGATTTTGTCATAAGAGGAAGGCTTGAAAAATCTTTCACTTATCTTCATCGCAATAACAGTAACAACAGAAACATCTCAAGAAACGTAAGCGCTCGCAAAAGCCATAGTTGCATTTGCAAGAGCAAGGTGGGCAAGGAAGGAAAATATGGCTTAAAGTAATCT